ATTTAGCAGAATCATCTCGTATTTAGCCATTATTACACGATTTAACTTGTATCGTGTACTTATTGATAGGAAAGGTAAAAATATGCAAAATATGACTGTGCACTGGGCACTGTTATTCGCCTGTTCAGTGGATTCGCAAGTTTAAACGGATCGGGAAGTTCATGTAAATATGAGGTGTACGGCCATTCGTAAAAGATTAGCATATCAATCGATACACCGAATGGTCATGAATGAGTCTAACGGTATCATAAAAGAGCATTTTGAAACTTCACAGTGTCTCGATGAAAACCGAGCCCCTAAGTAGCAAGTAAGCTTGACGGTGACAATTGAAATCCTGCGAAACCAGTGATCAAATTAATAGGCTGTAGGCTGCAATGTTCATCTAAAACGAACTGCGGTAATAAGTATCATGCCTACTTCTAGTCCCGATGTTAAAAAAGTAGTTTGCCTATCACTATTCTCGAATACGATACGCTATATTGTTATCCTCAATCAGTACGTGCAACACACTGTTAAGTGTTAACCCAATGACGACGTCCAACTGTTCCGAGGGGTGCGCTTATGAGCAACATAATTGGCATAGCACTTATCAAGGCACTTATTAGCATAGGTCATAATTGCCACCAAAAGGCCAATATAACTTAAAACATGCCCTGAAAGCCAGCCACGTATAGTGGCAGATTACGTACACAGCCCAGATATATCGCGCAACGTCGAATTATGTCGAACAGGGCACTGTCATGCTGTTCAGCGCGGAGCCTGTCGGCCCCTGGACCCCCACCCCCTCCAGCCCGCCCCAGGCAGGTGCGCCGTCTCGGCCGACCCCCGCCGGCGGCCCCAGACAGCCTATAAAGCAGAGTGGGTGCCGGCGCGCCGCAGTGCCGCCCCCGCCCCCGCCGCCGCCGCCATGGTGCTCGCAGTGGTCGCGCTGTGCGCTGCGCTGGCCGCGGCCGCCGCCGGGCACTCCCCGGCTCCCGGCGCCGGCCGCTCGTACCAGTACCGGTACGGGGACGCGCCGCCGCCGTACTCGGCGCCCGGCCACCACTGGTACCGGTACTCGTACGGCGGTACGGTGGCCGCCCCGCCCGCCGGACCGCCCCAGTACGCCAGCGGCTTCGGCTACACGGGCCTCCACGGCAAGCCGTACATCAAGGTCTACAACTACGACTCGCGCCGGGGGCGGCACGAGCACGGACGCGACTACGGCAAGCCCTTCGACTACGGCGACTACTCGCGAGCCTACGCCAAGGACTACGACTACGATCAGCGGCACGGAAACTTCAAGTACGTGCGGGAGTACTACAAGGACCGGTACCACCACTCACGAGAGCACGAGCGGGAGCACCTGTACCCCGGCGGTGACCGGCGCTACCCCGGCCACCCCAGCAAGGGTCATCACTACCCCGGTCAGCACGGTGACCGGCCGCGGCCGTTTGTACCTCGGCGAGGAGGTCCCACGGTCATCGTGCTGGGCTCCAAGAAAGCCTACGCCAGCGACTTCCCTCACGGCGGGTACTCGGGCGGATCTCACGGAAGATATCCGGGTGGATCTCGAGGAAGATATCCGGGCGGACCGGGTGGATCTCATGGTGGATATCCGGGCGGATCCCGCGATGGATACCACGGTGGATCCCATGGTGGATACCACGGCGGATCCGGTGGTGGATATCGCAAGGAATACGACGACAATCCCTTCCCTGAGCACGAGCGTGGTAGATTCCGCGGAGGCTACAGTTACCGTGGCAACGGCGGATTGTCCTACGACCGAGACGACTACCCCACGACAAGCTACCACAGCGGGGGAAAACCATACTACAAGGGAAAGTCCTACTACGGCGGTGGTGGTTTCCAGAGCTTCGTGCGTGGCAAGGGTGGCTTTCCGGGTCGCGGTGGAACGAGCTACTACGGCGGCGGGGGGTTCAATGATGTCGTTCCCTCGCGCGGGTACGGCCATGGGTATAGCTACAGCGACCACGGAGTGACCGGTGGAATAGGGGAAAATCTGTTCGGCACCAAGAAATACCACCGGGACGACTACCGACCGGCCGGAGGAAGCTACCGCTCTGGCGGCAGCTACCACAGCGGCGGCAGGTATGACAGAGACGACGGCTACGGTCGGCACGGGAACTACCACGGCGGCGAGGGAGACTATCACAAGGGCTGGGGAAGCTACCACGGAGGCAGTGGAAGCTATCACAGAGGCAGTGGAAGCTATCACGGAGGCAGTGGAAGCTACCACAGTGGTGGAGATACTCACCACCACGGCTCTGGAAGTTACCACAGCAGTGGTTCAAGTTACCATGGTGACAAGGATGACTTCTACCGCGGTGGTAGTGGAAGCTAACACGATCGCCACGGCGACGATGACGGTTTCGTGAGCCTCAGTTCCATCAGCCGCCCGGTACATCGACGGTACAGGGACGATGACGACGACAGATATTACAGCAAAAGCCACAGGAGCGACGAGTACTATAGCTAGGGCGCGAGAGCCTGATCTGGTATGGCGACCGAGAGATGGAGGCAGGAGAAAGGGCTAAAACCAACAAGCCTTTCAAATATTTATCTTCTGGTGAAAACATCAACAAAACATCAGTTGTCAGGCAACAATCTTACTCCAAAATGAAAAGCAAAGCTTCAAGACTGCATAATGTCATAGATACCAAAGTCCCATTGCATCAGTCTCCTGGTGGTAAGGGTGCGAATTCGCATGATATGGATATAAGAAGGTTAATTGGTGATCAATTGTATTTCATGATTCATCAATCATCGATGTCATAAATACGAGCATGTACTCGTATGTACTGAGCAGCATGTGCGTATAGAAACAAACAGTATTGTCTTAGTGTGATGGAAACTTCAATAAACTTCGTAGATGATGTCTACTTTTCCTGATGTTCTTCAGATTTCGATTTATGGCTGGGCAGAAAATTTGGGCAGAAGACACAGCTGTAAGCGCCACATGGCAGGTAATCGACGAAAGTTAAACTCTTCGAATAGGAGGGAGACACCGCAGAATGTGAGCTACTCGAATGATGTGCCCCTTTCCCCCTAAAAAACAGCAGCATTAAATCAACAGCCATTTAAGCATGGTCGTGATGCTCCTTAGCGATCTAAAAACAAGACGGTCTCCTGTAGGCCGGCGTAGTCGGTTTGTCAGGGCTCATTGACTGTATGGTAGGGCGTGGCTAAACGGCATCACAGACGGCCAGCGTAGCGCGAAATTAGTCAGCTGCCAGCCAACATCTGATATGTCGACGGTGTGAAAAGGCGAGATTACTTAGGGATGTAGTTTTAAAGACGATCTATCCCTCAGTAGCTTCATGGATAACATATTTGTTGTATTTAGCAAGAAAAAGAAGTTATGTGGACGGGAGATTGTTAGCATGTACACATCACGTCTATATAGCAGACATGCTACAGCACGATGCTAAGAGCTTTCTTGATATAGCAATGCTGAGATATTTTTCGTAGTTTCATCTATAGGTATCTTAAGAACTACATGCAAAACCAAACAGCGGAACTGCGTGCAGCAGCTAGGTACTCTATTCATTCAAAGACAGCAATAATTATTTTTAAAAAGTGAATGGAACATAGGGCGGGATTTATGAAGGAGAGGATGAAAATAAATATATGGTACCCAAAACCATCACCGGTGGTGGAATCCCCCATTCTATTGCAATACCACCGAACCACGACCGTAGTCAGACAAGCCACGGACCGACCTTGGCGGGGGCACTGCACAGGGAGGTCGGTCACACCACTCTGGTATGACACCACGAGGGGCCAGCCGTGGAGAACTGCGCGGTCCGGGCCGCGACCCGTGACCGGTGCACAGTCAGCCGTGACCGTGAGACAGACTCCCGACGGCCGCCGCGGCCTGACGGCTGCCGTACGAGCCGTATGGAGGATTCCCATACGAATGAGCTGGCCACAAAAGAGCTAGTGTTGTTTGAGCTAGCTCATTTGGGCTAGTGCCACAAAATAGCTAGTGCGATTGTAACTAGTCCCACAAAACAGCTAGGAGCAAAATGACAAGTGTTGTAAAGGGCTAGTAGATCGGCTCACGCCGTACCTCTTCGGGATTTTATCAGCAAAGTTCAGTTCAGATCAGATCGGTCACTAAAAAGTCGTAATATTGAAAAAGACAGAAACATACGACTCATATTTCATTCTCAAACGTTCATCGAAATGTTGTGTCCAACTCCGCGAAGAAACTCCTGCCTGTCTATGAAATCTTCTGTGAGACGGCGAATGAGGACCTTAATTCGTTTATTTATATCGGCATAATTTTCCTCTTGTTTTTGAACTTCGTTTCCTGCTTTGAATTTGTAAGGTTCGGCAGCTTGCAGCGCTTCTTCTTTTTTAATCACGGCCAGAAAACACCAAAGTGACGGGTGTGGCGAGTCCACCATTCCTTGCATTGCCCTGTGCCACCCTTCAATTTTCTTGTTGTTCCTCGGCATTCCCTCTTCGGTGCGAATTCATTCCACATGTCTTTTCCGAAAATTGGTGCTCTCCAGTCTCCTCTGCCCCCTCCGTCCCTGCCTCCCAATGTAGGTATCTTCAAAGTAATTGTAATAGGTATCTTCAAAGCTCTTTGCACCACTAGCTCTCCTTGGGACTAGCCCTTATAAGTTACTAGCTATTTTAACATTAGCTTTTACATCACTAGCTCTTTTGAGACACTAGCTCAAACGTACTAGCTCAAATGACACTAGCTGTTTTGTCGCTAGCTATTCGGACACGAGGCCGTATGGAGGAGGGCGGAGCGTAACAGGAAAGGATGAATGGGCAAGTGAGCGTGAGGTCAATGCTGGTCAATCAAGTCAATAAGGTCAATGTTGTGGAGCGGGCCTGGTGCCATCAATAAAGGGTCTCGGCCCAGACGTATTCCCAGAGCTGAGCGGTGCATTCTCCACATCTCCCGACCCCCGACCTCACGCCACCGACCGCGGCCCCACCTATCCTGTCGTCACCCCCTCCTGCCACCAGTGACCCACCTCCTCAGCAGGTAGCGCGCCAGGAACAGGCTGTGCCGGTCCGACTGGGCCTTGGCGAAGATCCACTGCTTGCCGTGCGAGATGCCGTCCTTGGTGCAGGAGCTGATGATGGGCTCGAGCACCTGGTCAAACTCCTCGGGCGAGATGCCCGTCTCTCTGGCCAGCTCCATTACCTGCTCATCCTGGGCCCGCCGGATGGCGTCATCCGACTGCTGGCTCTGCTGCTGCATCAGCACCTGAGGCGACGGTCACAGTGGGGTCACAGAGGGGTCACAGTGGGGTCACAGTGGGAAAACAGCGGGCTCAAAAGGACGTCACAGCGGAATCATATCAAGGTCGCTCTGTCACTCCGGTTGTCCCTCACATGCTGATCTATCCCCTCAGGTTCTATCCCTCGCCTGTTGTTGGGCTTTCAGGTTCTGGCCCTGAGGTTTATCCCTCTGGTTCTGTCCCCCACGTTATGTCCCTCAGATTTTGTTCCTCAAGTCCTGTCCTTCAGGGTCTATCCCTCAGGTGAAATCCCTTGGGCTCTGTCCCTCAGAGCCTGTCGCTCAGATTTATCCCTCAGGGTTTGTCACTCAGATGCGTCCCTCAGGGTCTGTCCTCCCGTTCTGTCCCTCAGGTTGAATCTCTTCAGTTCTGAATCTCGAGGATTTTCACCTGTTGCTGGGCGCTCAGGTTCTGCTCTGACTGGGTGATCTGATCCGTCAGATGCTGCAGCTGCTGGGTGATGCTCTCCGCGTTTGCGCCAGTGGCCGCCGGCGCCGGCGCCGGAGCCTGCTGCTGCTGCTGCTGCTGCTGTTGCTGTTGTTGCTGCTGTTGCTGTATGTGCGGCGGAATGGCGGCCGGCGGCGGCGCCTGCGGCGGCGGGGGGCCGTAGTCGCTGGGCGGGGGGCCGTAGTCGCCCGGCGGCGGGCCGTAGCCCGGACCCGGGCCGTACTGGTCGTAGCGGTGCTGGTGCGGCGGCGGCGGCGGGCCCCCGTAGGGCGGCGCGCCGCCGTAGCCGTGCTGGTACTGGGGCGGCCCGTAGCCGCCCTGTCCGGCGGGCGGGCCGGGCGGGCCGGGCGGACCGGGAGGTGCCCAGCGGCTGTCCATCCCAGCACCTGGGGGCACACACCGAGCGCCGTCAGGGCACTGAGCGGACGGGGGCCGTGCGCACGTGCAGGGAGAGTAAGCAGCACTATCAGCCAACACATCGGGGTAGCATCGGACGAGTAACAAGCTATGATTGTGCCATGCCCGGGGAAAGCATTCGCGAAAAGCATCGTTCACGGAGAGTTGGAAACAATGCTAGATGGCGCAGGTGTCACCACAAGAGGTCGCTGTGAACAAAAAAGTCAGCCTTGCACCGATGACCGAGACGGGGCGATTGGCGTCCAGTGAAAATGCCCATGGGCACAGGACCCATATATTTTGAACAGCAAAAACGGTATAGTCGATAGCAAGCGGTGGTAGGTACTCCAACAGAACAGCACACAACAGAGCGCTAAAAACAAAATAAACAAGATGCAGCAGGTATCATAAAAAACAAATGCATTTGAAAGTGACGAAAGTAATGTGTCGATCAATTCCCTTATCAGAATATGAGAAAATGTTGCCAGTTACATCAATGGCGGCATGTGAGACTAATGTGCAGCTGCAGCCTTACCCCCATCCGAAGGCTGAGGCCCGCCGCCGCGAACGTCTCGCTGTTTGCGAACTGTCAACACAAGGAGAGAGTGCCACAGGTGACAGTACGTCTTGGCATATGGAAAGCAATCTCTCCTTCCCTTTACAGCAATTATCCACTCCAAAAAGTTACAGCCCATTAAGAAATGTTATTCGTGAAGAGTACCTATACCTTAATGTGCTTCAGCAGTAGAGTTTATTTGTTATAATGATTTTTCTAACTGATTTCAATTGATGATTATCTAACTGATGCTATAGTAATAAACACTAAACAGCATACTAGAAAATCACAGGATACCTATCAAAATTCACAAACTTATGAAACATTGTCATAAGCTCTTTAGAAAGAAATTAGCCTATGAAATGCAACAGTTAAAGGATGCTAAGTTTAGACTCTTGCACAAGCATCTATGTAGTAACCAAAACTTAACTCATTATCTATCCATCACTTTTTCACCAAATGAACAAAGCTGCAAAGAAAAAATGCCTGACAGCCCTCTGCTTCAATGAGAAGAACATAAATGAATGCCCCTCCCCCCCCCCATCCCCCAGAGCTATAAGCAGGTGTTCAGCCTTCAGATAGTGATACCTTAATCATATATAGATAGTATAGTACCATGGTATGAAAGTATCAATCATAGATAGTAGGTATTGCCCCTGGTTCACATTTAAAGTAAAAAAAAAATCACTGTGCTGTCAAAATGCAAATGCATGCCTATATCTGAGAATGGCTAACATCTAGCTTACAGAAAACCCAATGGTTACTTCAGCTCATATTGTATATCAACATAACCTTAAGTTTTAAATTTTCAAGAGAATTAAGTTTTATAGCCATGGACAAAGCATGTAAATGACCTAAAATGAAATATATGCAACAAAACAAAAAAGATATACATGAAATTAACAGAATATTCAACTGTATCAGGCATAGCGCTCAAATAAGCATGCAGTGGTGCTGTATCACATTCCATACTATTTCCTCTCATTGTACTCTAGATACATAAGAAAAAATGGTCATATAATCCAAAATGACATCAATACCTATCGATACAGAATACACATGCCATGCCCCATCCACACATTATAAAACATATTCATGCCAACAACATACTGGCTTGCTCAGTGGTGACTTTATACTGGTAGTAATTGAAGTAGTCTCCTCCAAACAGAAAGCTGAACTTTGGGTTGTCTTTTTGCTTGGCCTTTGTCATGGCTTCAAAGTCAGGTCCATTCCTGGCCACAAACTGGGCTAGCTTGTCAATTATGTTTCTTCTTTCTGGATCTGAAAACAGTTAACAAATGGTGTACAAGACCAATATCTAACTAGTTTTCAATTAACTAGATGCCTACTTCATGCACACAAAACTGGATATAGGTACATTTATGCACAAAAGCAAAAGCCATTAGTAAATCAAATCAAATAAATGGCCAGAAAATATAACTTAACAATGAAAACAAGCTTTGAAAATGAGCCTGCATAAAAGAAGCCTGCTATCAAAGTAAAAAAAAAAATATGAGCATAATGCCCTATGAATTATGAATATCATCACTATGCAGCTTTTGATTACAATTTCTGCTTTGCAATAAAAATACTGTATAGCTTATATCAGGCCCATCATCAGGCATACCTGGTGGAGGCTGTGGCAAATCCATTTTTATGTTTAGTATTACAGCTTTTTTCACTTCAATTCTTCTCCTGAACTAAATAAAACAATGCAGGAACTAGCCTGTGGACAAGCAACAAAAAAGTCATCAGTCACTGTGCAGCTCAGCCCAGAAATGAAGGTGACAGGACTGAGGGTCAATTAAACTACTTAAGGCATTCAACAAGCCACTAAAATGCTGTTCAAGAACAAAAACAGCTCAAGCCTACTATTAACAACACAAACACACTAGCCTGATAGGTAACTAACAAACGACTGCTTCCCAATATGTCATTGCCACTTTTTGACAAATAATGTGGATAGTGAATAATAAAGCATGAAATCTATTTTCACAAATGAACAACCAAGCCAAATTCAAGGGATACTGTCTAGGTAAAGACTTTTGATGCTCTTCATGTATAAATAGGTAGGTACCAAGGCAATGGTTCACCAAATACAATAAGGTACCAGGTACCTACGCTATTAAAATATTCAACACAAATACAGATTATAAATGAAAATAGCCAGGCCAATGGCTATTTGATACACACAGCAACTCTGACTCTTAAATCCTGGCAAGTCAAACCAAATAAATAGGTACCACAAAATCAAAGTAAAGTGTAAATGGATTGGGATTGAGATCAATGCAGCGCATGATGATGAAGTAAGCCGTAAGGTGCCTAATTACAAAACGCAGTAGGTAGTGTGGGTAGGTACCTACATTCCACTGTAAGTAATGTGCAGATTTACCAAACTCAACAGATTATTTGACTGATTTTTTTTTTTAACAGAGTGATCCAGGAGTAGACAGCAAAAGATATACACATGCAGCTGCAAAGATAATGAAACATGTAAGCTACATTCCAAGTTTCATTGTAGTCTGGCATATCATTACAGATACAGATGAGATACAGATCCAAAGCATAACCCAAACCACGACTGATGCCACACATCGGTGGTGCACTGTAAGTACCTACCTACTTTGCATTTTGCAATGTACGCTTTTTAGTTTAAAGGGACCCTCACGGCTTCCACATTAAAAAAAGGTAAATGTCAAGTTAAAGTCCTAAGAAGGATTCATTGATAAATTTTTCATATTTTTACATTATTTGACATCCTGAATCCAAAAATGATACTCATATGTCTCGCAAATAAAAGAAAAAAACATAATCAAACCTGACCTAACCTTACCTACTTACCTATAACCTACCAACCTACAACCTACAAACCTACCCTAACCTAACCTGACCTACAAACCTACCTACCTACAACATAAAACCTACAAACCTACAACCTAACCTAACCTAAAACCTAAAATTTTTGCTGTTTCATATTCGTATCAAAAGCGCCACAGTTGTAGTTAGGACTTAAAGGGACCCTCCCACCTTAACATTAGATTTGAGTTGAGATAGCCAAAATAGGGTCCCTGGCTCACAATTACCGGTTTCGGCACTCACAACATCGAGAAATGCCTTAAATCGGAAATATTGAATTTCAAAATTGCAGCATTTTGATTCAGAGGGGCTAATGCTTAGGAATACCCCTCTGAATGTGTGACGTCAGCGCAAATATCTAACGATTTTTAAATGTTTGACTAAAACGTTTTGTAGCACGCGGTGGTATATGCTATTTGCGCGCAACATCTGCCGCAAACGCCGCATTTCTAAAATAGTCGCTAGAAACAGTGGAGATCCCAAAAAAGTAAACAAAAGTAAAAGTCTAATATCTTGAAAACCGGTGAATATTTTTCGGTGAAATTTGGTAGATATTCGTTTTCGCTCTTTCTGAACCCAGCGACATCACTTTCATTCCAATTCATAAACTTTTTTGATGGTGGGAGCCGGGAGGGTCCCTTTAAACTTGACATATACCAAAAAAAAAGTTAATGAATTGGCATGAAAATCCAAAATGATCTCACTCGGTTCAGAAAGGGTGAAAACGATTTGGTACCTATCTACCAAATTTCAACGAAAAATATTCAGCAGTTTTCAAGATATTATTTTTACTTTTGTTTACCTTTTGGGACCTCCGCTATTTCTACTTTCTAGAGACTTTATTTAGAAGCAATAATTTGGCAGTTGAAAGTGCGGCACTTGTTGCGAGCAAAGCAGCATATACCCCACTGCATTGGTTATATGGCCCTGTCTATCTGTAAGAATCTTGATATGGCCTTGACTGCATGCTACCAAACATTTTAGTAAGAGCGCAGCATCCAAGGGCCCAAGGGCAGCGTCTCTCCACCAAGCGTTCCCACACGTTACCTATACGCAAGCTACGCAAGGCTCATACATACGCTTCTGAAGGTAAACTTGTCTATAAATGACGTTAAATTATTATTTAGGAGTCTGAAGGTTATAAAACTGCATTTAAATGTTTTACTATGCATTAATATAATACGTTTAATTTTAAACTTAAAAAACAAGACAATTTTATCAAATATTGCACGAAATTGAGTATAATTTCTTTTCATTACTTCATATTTAGCTATAACTCTGGCGCTCTCAATAAGCCTATCCTTGAGCAACTCAAATAATGCGCATGTGTGACCAATAGCAAGCTTTTTATGTAAAAATACTGCTACTAAATATATACCGTAATAATCTAATATTATCATTTAAGGCATCAAAACATAAAGGATAACAATTGTATTGAACAATAACATCCAACGGGCACCACCTGTGCCGTAAAATTTAATAAAGTCCAACCCACGGCTTTTTAGTGCCGTCTGAAAGGGCGTTCCGTGAATAAAATATGAGCAGACCAGAGCAAACGTGTAGGTTAGATTGAGGTAGCATAATCCAGACCATACTTGACCTTTTAACGGGATTTAGACTTAAGTAGACTTAGGTAGGTACAGGGTGGGGCAGCATAATCGGGAATAAATATCAAACGGGATTATTTGGTCATGAATCTAAAAATATAGCTCCAAGCACTATTTTAGCAACATCCTATCAATCGGTCACCTTTTACCTATCCCTCATCCTATTTGACCGCCCTCGGCGTCGATGACCTTCTCAAGGCGGGTCCAAAAGCACGCGCATGCACGTGCAACCTCCTGCTTGTCCATGATCGCCCATCAGCTTCGTACCTTGCACTGAAGACTGTTTTTACTGATGATAAGTTGTTCATTAAACTTCTACCAAAAAACGCTCCATGTAAAGAATTTGGTCGGATTTAAATCGGCGGAGTTGAAGGACCAGAAGTTTTTGGTTCATCTCAGGTGGAGGTGCCCTACACAATAACATGTCGTCCTCACTGCAGTACCAGCACGGACAGAGTCCTCGTAAGACGTGATTTGGACCGTCAGTGATCCTCTCTTCCGACGGCTCCACGTGAGTCTGCCAGAGTGCGGTTGTATTTACCAGAGGTGCTCATTTTATCCGGGCTCGATGAAGTAGGGTGCACCACGTGCACCTCCCTTGAAGACCACCCATAGGTCCATCACCCCAACAGGATGTTTACTTTGCATGACCGCTGGAATATTCTCGATACAATCCCCTATATGGCATGCCATTCTTTTTTATCGTATTCCAGTCGGTGATAAGATTTTTTGTCGCTGAAGTTTTGAACATTGTTTCTTTTTAATATGCTCAAGTGCTTCTTCCTTATATTCAAGTGAGTCATCTTGTATGTCCTCTGCTAAGAGTTATTTTACGACGATTACGTTAACCTGTTGTCCTAAGTATCCCCACACAATCCTTATCGTCCGTGATAACACGTTGACCTGCCCAGCAACCTTTACGTGGAATTGCAGGGTTTTAAACAAAATGTTCTTGTTTTACTTGTTTAACATTAGTGTCTATGGGCGCGCGCAAAGCACTTGGAGCACCGTCGAACTATTTTGCTGCTCTTTTCCAGGAAGTTGCATGCTCATGGATGTAGTCATGTCAGATGATGCACAACTTTTGGGCGTTTCATTGCCATAATATAATTTATAAAAATAATGCCATGCCTACTCATGATCAGAGCCCAAAAAGCATTCCCGATTATGCTGCCCCACCCTGTAGCTCTGTAGACTTATACTTATCATGGCGTTCCGACTTCCGATCATATCATAATAATTAATAATTACACCGGCTAGGCTAGGTAGCACATGGACATCTTCCGTTCCGTCGTTTCCATCCTCGGAACAGTCAAATTCTTGTCCTCCGCGGCGTCCGCGCCTCCATGCCGCCCAGTTACGGGCTGGATAAACATTGAACAACTTTATCCCATGCGGGAACCTCCCATAGGAGCATGCCCGTAGCCGGGTGCGGTGACCGTCAGGGGGCAGGCGGTGTGGCCTATCCACGCGATGGGCTCAGCCCCGAAGGTTTACGAGGGTGCCAGCCCATGGACCAATGTCTCCCCTAATTCCAATTATCCTCCCGGCTCTGTAATGGTCTCAAGCTCAACAGACCGAAAGAGACCGAACCAGCAAAACAAGCAAACAAAGCATATGGAAAGGGTATTTTGACCTTGGTCCGTGGTCGACAACACACCGCATTTTCTTTAACTTGCCCGACTAAGGCCGAATCGATCAATTTGAAAGGCAATGAATTCATATACCTAAGCGGTAAAACGAGAATTATTACACTCTGCAGTACACAAAGGTTTTTTTCACAATTTAGTTACCGTGGTAGCGATACCCGGACGTGGCCTTTCGTGATGAAACGGTGAAGCCCGGTTCCGTCAATGAGCTGAGCTCGCTTTATCAAAGCGCTCAGAGATAGAATCGAGATAATTTCGGCTCGACAGCTCAATAACACGCCTCCCTGCACTGTGCAGGTGCAAATCAAGGAGGCTTAGGTATTGCCAAGCTCACGGCGGAGCGCCAATAGGTACGCTAGCGATGCGTTTGCTGAGTCCATTACATCATTTTACTTCAGGGTCAATCGTAGCGGGTCAGGGGCTCAGACAGCCGACCGTTAAAGGAAATAGTTCACTTTTTAACATGGGTTTTGAACTGGAATAGCAGTTCCGTAGCTTGGGCTGAGACGAGCATAAATCAGGAGCTTTTACAGCCCAACGATCACCCTAGGCAAAGATATTCTATTTCTCGTCCCGAAAAAGGTGTCTTGCGTTGAGGATGTGTGCCTTGCATATATTTCCATCCAGTATGAAAAGAGCATGGGTCCCGAAAATTCTTCAGAAACTAGAGAAATTATCTACGAGAACTCTAGACAAATTCTCGTACTGATCAATTAGGACATTCAGGGGAACATTATCAGATCGAGCAGATCGCCCAAATGCCGGTGGCTGCGATAATTTCTCTGTTTCTGAAGAATTTTCGGGACCCATGCTCTTTTCATACTGGATCGCGTGTGCCTTACAGAAACTGAAAAGTTCTTCCTATATCAAAATATAGAAAAAAAAATTGTTATAAAAAGGTTTTATTTTCTTTGCTGATTATTTTGAACATAAAAAATAATAAATCGTTGCAAAAAAAATAATTTCGTGAAAGTGAACTATTTCCTTTAACGATAAAACCGATTACTCCGTATCGGAGGAAAACCGTAAGTTGCAATCGTTACCAGTAGTCATAGCCAAAAGTGATGACATAACAGACCTACAATATATCAACTGCATTGAATACCTATAATGATCCAGTCCAACATTTATCGTACCGGTAATTCTGTATCCATCCCATCATACGCGAGTTACGTACTCATGCCTACAGGATCTGAAACAATAGCATTCTAATTGGTGGAAGCGTTTAGACTAGTTAAATGTTTCAAATAATATTTCGGACCAACCATTCATTTAAACTTTTTATGATTACGGAGCGAGCGAAGCGAGCGTAGTCTTTCCTTTTTCTGAGTATGAGTTGTGTGTATGAGTATGTGTATGAGTATGAGTATGAGTATATGAGTATGAGTTGTGATGTGGGTGTTTGTGACCATCATGCTACGTGTGAGTGTGGTGCCGTGGTTTGTTCTTGTGTGTTTTTCAGGAGCGCCGTTCTAGATGGTTCACCCACATCATAGCTAGATGTAACACCAAAAAGAAACTCACAGTCTTGGAAGCAGTCTTCATCAGAGATAGAGACCCTCTCATAAACAGACAGATGGATATGAAAGGGTCACTCTCGCTCTATGATGGACGGCCCCATAGCACCAAGGTTTTAGGAAGGCTTAGGATCAGATATGAATGCAAATTGAGAATGATTGTCATCTCGATTGAATGGTTATTTGTGTTAGGGGAGAGCGGGGCCAGTTGAACCACTTTTTATATATTGGCATGCACAGCGAGATCTAGCTGTCATATCGAAAAATGCACAATGCCATGAAAAAATATGCTCTTTTGGCTTTATTTTAAGATATGTAAAATTATGTTTCAAACATATTTTGCTGCCAAACGCATGCTTTTAAAACAGCTCTACGCCCGTTTCAAATGACCCCGATGCGAGGGTCAATTGAACCAGCCCATGGGGTCAATTGCACCTATCCTTAACAATGGGATGTTTTCCTCTTTAAGACCACTCTCTTAAGGAGATATTTTGTCCGGTTTACTTTTCCAAATGCTACATTCAATAGGTCGTTGGAAAGCTAAAAGTGCAAAGTTCCTCATAATAGGTGACATAAAGTACATAGACTATGGTAAAATGGGCGGATGAGAAAAATGAGAAATATCTCATGGGCTATAGTGTGCTTTCAAGCAAAAGGCTGGAGAAAAAGGGGTAAAAAATTGAGCTCTATTAAACTACTCTTTCAGTTTAAAAGCTCATTTCAAATGTGGACTATTTCCTTTAATGTTTACAGCCCCTGAACAATAACCATTGCAAAGGTCACCGGGGTCCATTGAAACGGCCTGCGGCCCTGTTTCAACTGACCCTCAGAGAAGCGTTTCAATTGACCCCATCCGCTCCCGCCATCTCGCACGCGCCGTAAAGCACATGTCAAACGAGCTGGAGGGACGGCATCATGCTGAATGAAGGGCCAAATAAGGTGTTATTCCGGAGCCAGGAGTTTTTCTTTCAGCAAACAAAGGTATATGAGATATCACAAAATATTCATAAGAACGATTTCTCCCAAACGCCCCTCAAAAACACAAAAACAAGTGTCAAATCAAAATTACCGTCCGTTTGCCGCCCAAACGCCGTTGACAAAAGAAGTGGTCAAGCGCGGATGCGCAGTGGCGTCGGCAACGCCATATGTTGCATACTGTTGAAAATAAAGCCATGTTTCATCTGACCCCGTGTTTCAACTGGCCCCGCTCTCCCCTAACCCGCGCCCCGTAGGGCTACCGGCGGACCCTACCACCCGTAGGGG